TAATAAGGAGCCTCGCTCTGTTGTGCGACCCTCACCACACTCTGGTGAAAGTGAGTAAATCAAATTAAATCAAATCAAATCAAATTTGGAATGTCGGTTTTTGCGGAGGGAGGAGGCACGGAGGACCCGGAGAAAAACCCTCGAAACAAGGACGCGAACCAACCACAAACTCAACCCACATGTGATGCCAGGTCTGGGAATGGAACCAGGGCCACAGCGGTGGGAGGCGTGTGCTCTCACCATTGCGCTATCCTTGCTCCCCTAAATAGTGATGTGCTCCAGACCTATGATAGTGATGTGGATGGTTGCTTTTAAGCCTCTTAAAGTTTGACTAAACTTTTGGGTTCAAACGCTTCACCATTGAAGGAAAAATAATCAGTGTACGACACATAAACTGTGAAGTGACAAGTTAGGCAGATTCTCAAATGTAAATAAATTCATACTCAGAAACAAAAGCTCACTCTCACCCCATCTTTGTCAGTTCTTGAAAAAAAAATCAATTATTTTCTTTTAAGGTCAACCACACCAGCCACGTAATCAGATCTCATGCGGTGTTACCACTTGCAAAGAGAGCTTTCACGTGAACAAACCACTTGACCTCTATTGCCATAAGTGTCAAGCCTGTTTTTGCCCGAGATGTGGGCAATCAGCTCATGGTAGAGTTGTTCAGGGCAACACTGATCATTCACAATCAACGACCAGAGGAAAAGGTTTGGTAGAAGCGGAACAGGGCGCCGAAGCTAACTTCACAATAATTACGCGAGATTCAAGAGAACGACTGTTCTATGACGAGCGGGAGCAAGTGACTGTCACTGTTAGCTCTCAAACCGGAAATGAGGAGGTACAAGTCGTAGATTGCAAAGATGGTCATTATCGAGTATGTTACAAACCAAAGAGTGTTGGTCGACACGACATTGAAATTAGGGTGAATGGATGGTCGCTGACTGGTAGTCCCTGGAAAGTCGAGGTGAAGCCACATCAGTACAAAGTAGTGAGATCGTCTGGGTCAGGAGAATTAAGCGGACCATACTGTATCGCAAAGAATGAAATAACTGGAGACATTGCAGTTGCAGATTATATAAACAAAAGGGTCCAGGTCTTTGATAAGGACATGAAACATGTGAAGACGATAATAGGAGGTAAGGCAGACTCACAACGTTGGGCCAACATAGGTTGTCCTGTTTCAGTGGCATTCTCAAAGAGCAATGACATCATGGTTACCCATGAGCAATTCAGATCACAAAATAAGAAGCTTTCAGTTATAACTGATCGTGGCCTCTTCATCGAACATTTTACTAAACATCTGATTAAAGCACATCATGTTTTTGTCAAAACTGAAGATGGCCACGTGATCGTTTGCGATGAAGGTGACAGAAAGATAAAGGAAATCTCCTCAGACGGGAAAGAATTGCTGCTGGCCTTCTCTGCCCCGGATAGTGAAGTGAACCCAAGCTTTCCATATTTCTATCGTGGCATGTTCTTTGTTTCCTATATGAGAGCACACTGTGTGAAGGTCTTTGATAAGAAAGGAGTGTTTCTTTATAACATTGGTAATGAGGGTTCTGGTGAAGGAAAGCTGAGATATCCCGAGGGACTTTCTGTAGACTTCTGTGGCAACCTGATCGTGTGTGACGCTAGTGGTTTTGATCAAAATCTCCACCGCAGTGGCGTCTTGAAAATGTTCACCTTGGATGGAGCATTTCTCACCTCATTTGGAGAGGATACGTTCAAAGTTCCTTGGATCGTGTCTAGCTGCAATAATGGCGAACTGCTCGTTGCTGATGTAGTCGGGGATAGTGTTCATATTTTACGATAACCCGTTTGCTCTCTTGCGAAATGAAACACAAATGAAACAACTCTTCAGTCGATCTTAAAATTGCTTCAATAATTCATCTTCCTTTTTCTTGTTAAACAAATCGCCCTTAATGTTATTCATTAATGGCTTAGTATAAAACGTACTTTTATTAAACATTGTAGGCTACGTAGTCAAGGAAGACTAGATTGCAAATTGAGTGAAATTAACAAGAATTACAGTTTTTCCTTTGACTGTCTGAGAATTATTTTGTGCTAATCTAACACTTTGAAGGTGCTAGGGCAATCGGACTTTTTAGTCTTTTGACTATCTGCTGTGTACATTATGGGTTCAACGATGAGGTGGGAAATCAGTCTTGAATTATCCCCGGTTCTTCGAGTTTCTTTATGACCTTTGATACTGCATCTTTAACGGCTTCTCTGCTTTGCCATTTGCGTTTCATTTGAGCTTTATACCACATTTAATGTTTCTAGCTGTACCATCATATACCTAGCCTAACTGGCAGTTTTACGCAAAACTGGCACGATCAATTTGTAAACTTGCGTATATTGGAGACTTCCCAGCCTTACTGGCAATTTTATGTAAAGTTTGTTGTATTTGTAAGTTTACTAGCCTAAGTGGCATTATCGATTCTTGCATGTTCTTCTTTAGACTGCTACACAGCCGTTCATAGGGTCATCACGCAACGCTCCTCCCCACGTTCGTGGGGAGGAGCGTTGCGTGACGACCCTAAGAACGGCTGTGTAGCAGACTACTCTTCTATGGTAGATTTTGTGACAAAGTAGGAAACCTCGTAGGCTACGTGGCAGTCTGACAAAAAGATAGAGCACTTCTGCTGTTCTTTTCAGGCGCTTTCCAAATAAACTTATCTGTTGTTTATTTTCTGTAGGCAGTTTTACTGAATAATAACATTGCATGCTTTGTGATAAGCATTCAAAGTCACGCTTCTAAGTTTTCCATCGTTTCAGATTGAAGGGAATTACAGAAAAATAAAAAAGAAGGGAAATGCTGCTAAAACAACAGAAGCTACGGTTCCTCTTTCCTTCCCCACAATATCTTTTGCACCTATTTCACTACATTTTTACCCACTCTCTTTTCATGAGCTTTCCACGCTAACGTCAGAGGACACTAGGTCCTGGATCTTCCTTTTCACCGCTGCATATCAGAATACATTCCTAATTTTGCAAGGGTTTGATTCTGTTTTCAGTGTTCACCGAGTTGTGCATTCTATTTGAAAATAAATAAATAGAATTAGGGATAGGGCACTTGAACGTTCTGCGCGAGATTAGGAACAGTTTATGATCCCTTGCGTTCTGTTGATAGTAATTCTACCACAGAATGGAGAATCAGGAATATATTGCCACTTCAAACTAGAGTTACCTTATACAATACTCTGATACTTCGTCTTTTTGATTACGGTGATGTTATATGGGGGGACAACAACAATGACACCATAATGTCAGAGTTACAGATCCTACAGAATAAAGCTGTTAAAGTTCTGCTGGCGCACCCACCCCGAAGCTCGTCAACCGAAGCACTTAGGAGTTTAGATCTCAACTCGCTCTCCGCAAGGTTTTTTCATCGCTGCATTGCAATCCACAAGTGTCTGATTGGGGAAACTAATTTTTTAACTTTAATTTTATCAAGAATCAAGCTGTCCATTCATATAATACAAGACGTTCCAATGATCTTTGTTTACCCCTTCCTCGAACTAACTGGGGTAAACAAACACTTACTATCAAGCTGCGAAAGACTGTCACAGTCTTCCAACTGATGTGAAAGAAACACAACTCATATCTTTTTTTAAATCCAAGCTAAAAACTTTTTTTAAAAGATTTTGATTAATTTTAAATTTTTATATTTCAATTAGTTATCGATTTTAAGATTTTGAGGGCTGAAAACCGTTCTGGCGAGTTGGGCTCCCTCGTTAAATATTATTGCTATTATTATTATTATATCATTATAGCTGAATAATTTCAAAGTACCAAAGAAAAAAATATCATCTATTTACATAGGCCTGAAATTTCTCGTACTCATAGTGCTTTTTAGATTCAACATGTTGAAACAACGACACTTTCACATTTTTTTAAACTAGATAGCGCCGATTGATAGACTTAAACGAGAGAGAGACAGAGAAGGCCGAGATTAGGCTCGCGTTACCCTAAGTTACCTGTCGGAAACGAGGGGCGATTAAATCTTATTTTTACAGCTTTTATCGTTCCTTTCTTCCTTAGTGCTCGCGTTTCTAGGAACATCGTTGAATTGCGTAGGTCCTGGGCATGAGAAACGGGACGTGACAAAACAGTTGGTTGTCACGCGAGGCCATATGTAAACTTGGACCGACCTAGACTTTATTTCCTAGTTGGAGGGTGCAGCATCGCTAGAAAAATCGAATCGGCATGCGCAGTTGCAACGTGACACTTAGAAATTTTCGGGCTCAGTATCGAGCCTTTCATTACAGAAAATATACGGGTGATAGTTTTTCTTTTATCCGTATATGAAACCTTTTCCAAATCACAAGTTACTTATTGTTTTGAAGCGTTGCGTGGCCTGAAAACTTTAAATCTCGGTTCGGTTTTACGAATTCATTTACGGTATACTTTAGGACACCATTTTCAAGGCCTTTGAGTCAAAATCATTGCAGACCCGGATTCTGAGGTGCACAAGTGCCACGTACCTTACTTTGCATTCAATCGAAAAGTTCCAAAATCTGATTGTTTCTGAGTAAAATATGGGGCTTTTTCGTCAAGATCTGGGTTCGGCTTTTAAAACCCTTATAACGCGCCATATTGGCCTATACGCGAAGGTTGCGCGAAAGAAAATAGATTCTTACGGTGAAAACATCGTCGCCATATTGTAGGAAAATGTTTCAGGCTATTAACTATGTTCCAACGAAGCTCTCTAGTGGATGTCCTCCCCGGGGTGGGGTGGGATGGGTGGGAAGTGAGATCGTTACATGGACTGAAGCGGCTGCTAGAGTCGCCTGATAATAATGCTGACGTCCGATCTCAACCTTACGATACTGTTAAGCGCGACTGAATATATCCACATAGAAGTCTGCGGTATATAAATGTAAAATGTAGATGCAATGCAGTGGGATGATAAGGAGACTTGGATTACAGGCAAGAAAAAAGTACACCTGAACAAGCTCATTCAGGAAGTCAGTAGCTGTGATGTTGCATTCTCAGTCTGGGACTAAAGGAATGCAGATAGAAAAGGAATCTGGGACTTGGGAATGGACTCGCCTCATCCGGGATGACAGGCAAACACTCTTGAAAAATTTGTCAAGCAAACTAGAACCCCATGATCCAGCAAGACACAGCCAAAACTGTGGTAGAATTGTGAAAGGTTCATTATTATCAATCAATGCATTTCAGATATTACTAACATGATCTTGAACATGATCTTGAGGTTCTTATTAATGGAAGGCAACTTGAAAATGTGCAATTTGCAAAACTTTTGGGACTGGAGATAGATCAAGAATTAACATTTATTCCTCATATTGATAAATTAAGCAAGAAATTATCGCAGAGAATAGGCATTTTGAAGAAGATCAAATACGGCTTACCACTAAAACATCGCCTTCTATTTTATAATGCTATGATAAGACCAGTATTGGATTCTATAAATTTTATTTTCAGGTGTGGAAAAAACAGTAATGATGCAAGACGAATACTGTAGTGCAAAACAAATCACACTGATGACCTTACTGACATATTGCAAGCAGAATATCACATTTGTTCTCTAAAACACAGGGAAAGACAACCCAGACATTATAAAAAGAAAAATGTAGAGTACTGGGAAGACACTATCAAATCATACTGAAAAACATGCAAATGTGTCAGTTATGACAAGCTCCAAGAATTGAAACCCACAGAGGAGAGGCAGTAGCAGTTGAGCCCCCACCCAAAAAAACTTTAAGGAGAAAATGAAAACAGTCTGCTAACACCAATAAATCTACTATGAATAAGAAATCAAATTGTGCAAAAAAGTAATGTCACATTGCTAATTGGTTATCTCCTATTGGATACTAAAATGTGTGATATCATTATCTAAATGTGCTTCGTAGAGTACAAATAACGCATGAGACGAGCACAAATATCATGCGATCTTTGTACTCCAGAAATATCTATGAAATTCGCTTGCACTGAAATAACAATTTGGTGTGTTGGATAATATATCTCTTATAAGATGTTTTGTTGTGTAGTATCACTGAGTATTTTTACTCATTATTTGTAATTGACTCACTCTATGGGCTTGTCAAAATATGGCACAACTTGTAAAAATACTCAGTGATACTACACAACAAACCATCTAATAAGATATATTTATTGTAAAGTACAATTCAAACTGGCTAAAATGAAACACACATGATTCCCTATAACTCTGAGTTTTGTGCTTTCGCACTCATTATAGACAGATTTAATGGAAAACATTCCTGTGGGCTAATTTTATATATACACTGGTCTATATTCAAAAGGATAGGTGCTGATTACAATAGTTTGTTGTTATATGCACAATAGGTGAGAAAAAGCGAAAATTACCGTGAATGTGGATATATAAATGAAGGATAATGAGACAATGGGGTTGAGTGTATTAGCAAAAGTCTATTGTAGCAGGGGAGCATTAACTGTTCTTTAGATAAAACTTGTTTTTGTAGCGGCACTTGGATATATATTGTTCAATAAATTGTTTCTGTTAGACTTGATAATCATGAGTTTTTTGGTAAGGCGTAGGTCGCATCTGTTCATTGTGTTGTTGTAGGGGCCTAGCTCTTGCAATAATGGACCATTTTATGCTGAAGTTTACAGAGTTGTCTTTCAGTTGCCAGATGTATTTAGATAATTCAGTGCTGTTAGTGTATTTTCTGTGTCAGAATGTGACCTTGTGTTGGTTAAATCTTTGTTTAAAAGTTCCTTCAGTCAATCCAATGTAGTTCTTTGGGGTCGCTTAGTTATCTGTAGCAGTGACTTGTGCGTCATAGATAATGCTGGAAGACAGACAAATGTCTTCCAGCATTATCTATAATGTCTTCCAGCATTGTCTCATTATCCTTCATTTATACATCCACATTCACTGTAATTTTCGCTTCTTCTCACCAATTGTGCATATAGCAACAACCTATTGTAATCAGCACCTATCCTTTTGAATACAGACCAGTGTATATGTAAAATTAGCCACAGGAATGTTGTCCATTAAATCTGTCTGACGAGTGCGAAAGCAGGAAACT